AGTGTTGTTGTTTTTGTAAAGAACTAACTCCTGTGTTATCCAGTATCTTCTTGTTTGCATAGTATATACTGATTTTTGTTAATCTTGCAGTGTTAGTTAATTTTTTAACCTTATTTATTATAGCTTTGGATTACTTTGTGTTAAAGGATGCATTTTCTGACCGACAAACCCTTATAGAGAAATAAAGCTACATCCCCACAACTTTTAATATGCTTTATTTATATATCATTATAGTGATGCTTGTGTTAAGTTTAAAAGCATAAGAAATGTGTCTTATGAATTCAAAATATTTGGGGAATTTCCAGCTTTCCTTTGTTCCTAGTTTCCAATCTCATTCCACTGTGTCTGAACACACTCTATAATTTCTTTCATTTTAATTGTTGATACTTACTATATGCCTCGGCATATGTTCAATTTCTGTAAATTATCTTTGAGCAATATAAAGAGATCTTTATTCTTCATCCGTTCAGTGCAATGTTGTTTATATGATAATCAGATTATGTTTGTTGACTTACTTTTGGGGGGAAACTTTTGTATGTTTCTGAATTTCTGTCTTCCTGCTCCGTTCCTGAATTACTTGAAAAACTCCAAACATGACCCAGGCTTTACATATTTATCTTTGTAGAGTCTCATCTTTGTTGTAAATTTTAAGTTTTATCAACTAATCATTACCATTTAATTGTTATCTATTCCTAATATTCCAAGACATAGCAAAAGATAGACTGCTATGAAGATGAATTTTACTTATTTGCCTCCTAAAGAGTCTATATTAAGTCTTGTGGATCATTAGCACATCATATAATTTCCCTATTATTCATATATATGTGTGTGTGTGTGTGTGTGTGTGTGTGTGTGTGTGTGTGTGTGTGTGTCCTCTCTATCTCTCTTTTCTATTTCCTTGAAATGGAGTTTCACTAACCTGGAACTCTTTGTAGAACAGGCCAGCTTCAAAGTACAGAGGTCTTCCTGCCTCTACTCCACCATGGGCAGATTGAATGTTTCTCTTCTGAAGAAGTTACAGTTGTTCACAATCCTCTAACCTGGTCCTTGCTGTTTAATGTTGGTACTTGGAATAGTAACTGATGCAATTGAGATTAAAAGTTACATTCTGCTGTGAGTTTTCACACACTTAATTTAATTTATTCTCTGGTTACTCATCACTCACCATATTTTATAGTTTTTCATTACACATCTTTATTTCAAAAAGCTTCTTGCATTCAAAATTACATTCTCAGGAATGGTTATTATTAATATTAGTTTACGATATATATATCTCTCTGATTCAATTTTTTTGGTTTGAGTTTGGGTTTGTTTTTTGGTTTGGGATTTTGTTTTTGTTCTGTTTTGTTTTGTTTTGTTTTGCTTTGTGTTTTTCAGGGATAGGTTCTTACATAGCCCAGTCTGGACTCATCTTCACTATTTAACCAAGGATGGCCTTAAGTTCCCAACGCTCCTGCCTCTAATACATAAGTACTGGGACTGTAAATATGCTACATACTGTCCATCTCCTTGATTTATTGAATCCTAGTAGCAACTCTTGAAAAGTCATACCCCAGGAATCTTTTCTTTAGTTTGTTATAATACAACTTGGACATTGCAAGATATTCCATATTTCTTTAGAATCCACATAAAGTATACTTTTTACTTTTAAAAGAGTTTTATGTTATTTGTTGTGGTATAATTGAAAAATGCAACATTCTCCTGAGATTTATTGCAGACATGGTGAGTAGTTTTTTCTAATATTTTATTTGAAGCTTTTGTTTTTGCAACAACGTGCTTCCATGTAAGTGTGCAATTGTTATCAGTTTGTGTGGTGAATGAAGAAAGGGTAACATTCTATTTTCTTTCATTTTAAAGACAAAATATTAAACTTTCTCATCATGACTTAGGATGTCATCTAACATTTTTATGATATATTCTCTCTTTAAGCTACTAAGTTTTCTTGATATTCTTAGCTTGCTAATTCTATACTGTTTTACAGTACTTTCGATAACTATTGGACAGATCAGAGTTTTTTGAAATGTGTCTTTTGTGCTTGATCATTTGGGATTTCATTCTAGATATTGTTAATATCATTGATTTAACAATAAGCCTTTTTGAAAATGAAAACCTGGAGCCCAGCAGGGATGTTACCATAAACTGTGATTTGTGTTAGTAAGGTGACTCCATAACCAGATGACTACCACTCATTCTCATGACCTTGAGCACAGCAGTACCACTCATTCTCATGACCTTGAGCACAGCAGTACCTTCTGTGTTATTTGGTTCGTTCCATCATAATTTTTTTAACTTGGCAAACAATTAATTTCTGTCTTGTGTGTGTATTTGAAATTTAGTGAATTCTTTATATCTACCTTTCGTATGACCGGTTAACAGTCAGAAAATTACAGAGACTAACTCTAAGGACGGACGGGGCACATGGATCACCCTAAGTAAGGGCAATTGAATAGATTATGCAGGAGGACTGCAGGCCAGGTGGGGATGCAAACAATAGAAAACAGGGATGGGAGGGAGGAGCTGAGGAATATTGTAGGGGAAGAATGACTGGAATTGGGGGACATTATTGGGAGGGAGGCAATGTGGATACTTAGTGTAGTAGAAACTTCCTGCAACCTATGCGCATGAACCTGGCAAGAACTCCTAGTAATGGAGGATATGAAGTCAGAACTGGTCATCTTCTGTAGCCAGTGGTGGGACAGGGACACCAATCCAGCCACAAAATTTTCAGCCCAATATCTGTCCTGTCTACAAGCTATGCTGGGGCAATGATCTAGCTTAAGGTTCATGCTAAGAGAAGGAACTCATGTTCCACACTGCCTGGGTGGCACAGAGACCTAGATTAGAACCAAGCACAACTGCCCACTCCAAGGCAATAACATGATTTCTAATGATTTTCTGCTATACTCATAGATTTTGCCTAGTCCAATTATCATTAAAGAGGCTTCCTCAGGCAGCTGATGGAAGCAGATGCCGAGACCCAGAGTCAAACAATAGGTGGAGCCTTGAGAACTGTATGGAAAATAGGGAGGAAGGATGTTTGGAAGGAGAGGAGTAGAGGACACCATGAGAACATGGCTGGTAGAATCAACTTGGTAGGACTTGTGAGGGCTTAACTTGTGAAGGGAAATCAGTCACTCTAAGGATGCTGGGGAAAGGTAGTTGAGTATTTATTAAGATAGAGAGAAGTAACTTACATGAGATGTGAGAACTGGGTCAGCACTCTATGGTCCCCAAACCTCCTCTGGGATCCAAGAGAGCAAGAGGCCACTCCTGTATCCTCTTTTATCCCTGAATTCTCCCACATACCTGTGACCACACCCCAGGGGGGCATGGTCAGTACTCCAGGTACATAATCTCTTCCTCTTTTAACTGTCATTTTTATTAGCTTTTTTGTGGGATTCCTAAAAGTGTGAGTGGGGGTGTCTCTCTTTTTCTAGTCTTGGAACCCTTATCCTCCTACTAGGTTGCCTGTTCCACATTGATATGAAGGTTTGTGCCTACTTTTATTGCATCTTGTTATTCTGTTAAGTTGATATCCCTGGGAGGCCTACTCTTTTTTGAAGGGAAACTGGGAGAAGTGGATCTGAGGGAACACAGATGTAAAGGAGGACTAGGGGGAATGCAGGGAAAGAAGGCTGCAGTCAGGATGCATTATGTGAAAGAATATATTTAAAAAGGAAATTACAGAGATTATACATTACAGCAGTTTTATTTTACCAACTTCCTTCTGAGAAACCTCCTGCATGGCCCTAAGACCTTAACCTTCAACTCTGTTGTATTCATGTAATAAGAATGAAAATTGCTATTTCTTTGATTTGAGCAGCTACTAAACATTAAAGTCACATCAAAGTGACCATTCAGATAGCTATTCCAAGACTATGGAGGGAATAGCTATTTGGATAATATGTTAGAAATCTAATTCTTTACGGGTTTTGAGGGACTAAAGTTTATCTGTTGAATTTTTTATGTATTATCTATACTCTACTTTAGGATGTTAATTATTGCTTCTGAAAACATTTAAAGTCTTTCTTTTCTTTTCCTATGATTTCAAATACATGTTTTCATATTACAACTGCATCCTAGCTTTATGTCTTTGTTTGATAAAGTAATTCAAGTTTGTGCCTAAGGAGATCAATTTACATACACTAATTAATTTGGTAAGCAACATTTACTTTCTAACCTTTTCTAGCTTTGAAATAAATTATATCATTATCAAACCCAAATGTCCATTTTATTGTTTATGTTTCATTTGTTGTCTTCTAACTCCAGACTCATTATTGTCTGGTGGACTTATTCTGTTACATTTTCTTCTCTTAATACATTATTAGGTACTTGAAGACTACAGTTTTTTCATCCATATTCATGAAAACTTCCTGTTCATTTCTTTAATCGTTTTCAAGTCTCCCAACTTCAGTTCCCATTTTTATATGTCCCTGTGGATATTTTATTATCTTGATTCTCTTACGCTCTATTGTGCCCTATTTTTCTTTTTTGTAATCATTCAAGTCACATTTATTTGGCATTGTGTTTTTACTTTGGGAAGATGGGGAGGAAGGGGCAAAAACAGTGTCTCTTTGGAGTCACATAAGTGTTTTGGACTCCAAAGTATATGTCCAAGGACTGGATGGCATGGCCAGGCAAATCACATGGAAGGTCCACCAGACTCTTTTTGTCTACTGATTTCTAAAAATAAAATAAGCTGCATAGGTATCTGTGGTACCTGATAAATGCAAGTTGCTTTCTAGCTGACTTTTCACACAGGATACAGATATCTAGACATCATCAACTTTCTCCTTTTCCAAAATGAAACTCACCTAGCAAACTAGGGAACTCCAAGTATAGTATAGTTTTTATAGAATGTAGCTGGTAAGTTATCTCCCCATCTTCCCCATCCGCTAAGCCAGAAGGCGCTGAGAGTAGAATTTCCTCACTGGCTTCTCAGAGGGCTAGCCAGCTTGCTCTGACAGAATCGACATGGAGTGATGTGCGCTGCACAAACCCTAGTGCACAGTTCTCTCTTTTTTGGCGATGATAATTTTGCTGTGCTCAATATCCTGGAAATCCACATCATTCACAGCTCGAACTTGGTCCTTTTCTTGAAGTCCTGCTTGATGTGCACCAGAGTCTGGAATCATCTTGGAGATGAAGATGTCTAGCTGGGAGACCTTTCCTCCCCAGATGTTAAATCCCAGCTGAGCACCCAGAGGCTTCTTCAGTGTGCCGATTCCAAGCAGAAACTGGGTCAACTCATTGTTGTAGTCTGGGTGGTATACTCTCTCATGAGAAGGAATCCACGCTCGAGGGTTCTCGTAGTCAGGCAGGAAAGCCACTTGGTAGTCATCATAAGAGATCGGGGTATCCATTTCAGGCAAAGCCCAGCAAATAGGCCACCCTCCTCGGCGCCTCGACTCACTGTCAATTCGCCTTATTTTTCTTCACTATGTAGTTTTTGTCTTTTAGAAAGTTTTGTTGGTTTTAAGAAAATAGAATTACGTAGGATAATCTATAGTCCAGTGATTACAAAGATAACAATATATCATCCCAAATTTTTACATAAAGACACTAGCAATCTCGAAATAGATAATCTAATCAACTTGAGATGTTTTAAAAACTTAAATCTATCCTTGTCAAAGTCTACTTCTGTGTAGCTCCCTTTATTTTAAAGCTTAAGCTAGACTTCCTCTACAGAAACTCTTCGTTATAGTTTGTAGTAAAATGTCATCATGGGTTTCTGTATTTTAATATTTGGTCCCCAGTTGGTGACACACTTAGGGAAGTTGTGCAACCTTTGTATTTCTAATCTAAATAGCAAAAGATTGTTACTGAGTCAGTCTTTGAAGATGATACCCATTTATCTTTCTGCTCTCAGTTCTCTGTTTCTTGTTCCACCCAAATTTGAATAAGTCACTTGGAAGCTTCTACCATCTCTGACCAATGCATTTCGTGCTAATTCCCTACAATTCCCTACTGCGAAAATAATGTATTTACCAAAAACATAGTTCAAAATAATTCCTTCAAGATTTTCATCATACTGGTGAGAAAATATTCATGATACTCATGAATTGTTTGGGAGACTAATTTTATAACTATATGAATACAAAATAATAATAGTGATGGTTTAAAATTAAACTTAAATGTCTTGCTAATTTCTGTGGATGTTCTAAATTATCTGTTATAGCGCCCAAATATTTATATATTCCTAAGTAAAAATTGCATATAAAAGTAAAGTAAAACTTAATTGGAGAAAATGAATACTAAAAACATTAGATGTATAGACTGACATGTTCATTTTTATCATTATACCCAAATATGGGCAAAAGGTAGAATGTGTTCATATTTGGAGAGATGTACAATATGCTTTTGACTGGGTTCTTCCCATGATTCTCAATGACACTTAACAGCAAACATGTAAATGCTTCCAAAAAAACTTATTCCAATGTTATTTTATCAAAGAGGAAATACCCTTCTAAGAAACTGACAAAGTATTTAATGACTTAAAAGACTCTTTCTGATTTGATTCTTTTAAAAATGTGTAAAAAAATAACTGTTGTATGGAAGGTGTTGCTATGACTGTCTATAGCATATGAAAATTATCTTATGCTCAGATACTCCATAATCAGATCTACCAATCAAGTCTTAAAGAAGACCCGCTGCTTCCCAGAAAGATTTCCAAACACTTCCTGGGTGACACTGTAAAAAATAACCACAGGAACCTCGTTCTGTTTTGCTTAAGATATTGCCAATAGGTAGAGGAAGAAGCAAAAGTGATGCCAAATGATGCTGACCCTTCAACTCCTCCAGTGAACTTAATTACTTGAACGTTAGTTGGGCAGTTACCAAACTTGATCAACCATGTTCTATTAAAGAAGACTTGATAGCTCTGCTGATCTTCTGGGAAATCGCTTCTGTTAGTGGCTATAAGGTCAAGAGCAAGAAGAGCTTGGGTGGGAGTTTTTGGATATATTCAAATTACAAGAAGTACCAAAGTCTATATACTGTTTACTACTATTGTAGAATTAGAGTAAAGGAAGTTCCTCCTTACTCGTTTTTTTTTCACATTAATAAAAGGTAGCATTGTTTTTGTCACTTAAAATGTTTTCCAAAAGTTCAAGATAGTCTATAAATCAACATCAAATGTTAAAGTATGAGTCTTTGTGTTTGATACGATTTAAAGCTATAACTGCCAGAAAATTTAAGATTAAAAAAGGAGACTCAATTAGAGATTTAAGAGAAATATTAAAGAAATCTCATAGAAAATACATAAATAATTCCGTATTGCCATCTTTCATCTGGGTAAGCTGTAAAATAATCACTTCTGTTAATATTTTAAGTGATAGCTCAATAATTCCTAATAATCCTGAATAACTTTTTCATAAGTCTCTCATTAAAATTACTTTTAAAAACTAAATATATGCATCAGGCATTTTTAAAAATACTGAAAAGTAGTATTTTGTGATATATATTAAACATTATATTATATACATATACATATATATGTATAGATAAATCCATAGCCACCAAGTAAAATAGATCTCTTGCTATTCATTTTATATACAAATACACTGTTGCTTGTAGTTTTTGTATGACATTTTAGCTGAGGTCTAAATTACTCAAAGTCATTAAAGCTTCCTATCCTAATAGCTCATCTTCACTGAAGGATTTCTTTCAGCCCTGACATAAATAATCCATGTACCACAGATTTTAAAATTATTTGCATTCAGTTTTATATGAATATACTAATTACTTCAAATTCATTATTGATAGTTCAATGGGCAATTTAGGATTTTACAGAGCCTTGGATTCATCTTTTTAAGAAGAAATAATGAGGGTACATGCACATGTGTAAGGAAATTCTCACAAAGATTTCTAATTGTATAGACTCTATCTAACTGGATTTTATCTTAGCTGGAAATGAATATCAATGTAAGCCTTATTTTTGAGAATCTTATACGGTTATTGGTACAGAGTTTTGAGGAAATGACCCTTAATCAAAGATGAAATATCTTCCAAACAATGCAATTGATTAACTATAATATATTTTAAATTCCATTATTCTTGCTCAGGTTTGATTAATTATTCTGAAAAGAGACAATTAATGTGCTTTTTCCTGTAGTTAAAGGCTTGAAGAGAGAAGTCACATTTACTTACGGATATGTTTTTCTATCAGTTAAAAATTTTCATGAATAATATAGATGTAGTTTGTTAACCCAAATGCAGATTAGATTTTAATACTGTCAATTCTTCTGGTATTGAAATTTTGTAAGTATGAAGCACAAATGAGCCCAAAATATATCTCTTCAATTTAAAATAACCTGCTGAAAAATTTGTTAACCTATCACCTCATTGTTCTATTACTGACATAAAATATGCCAAACCTTTGTTCTGTCATCTATAGGAAGTAGCCATTGTCTCTATGTAATGAATAAAATATGTCTTGAGTGTTGTTGGCTCACATCACTTCTTATCTGGAAGGGGTTAGCATCATCCATCACATTGTTAGCTAATGGCTGTGCCCCTAGTCGATTTTGAGAGGGATTGCTCTTTGTCCTTTGTAGATATCTACCAATATATATCAATACAGGTGTAATATATATTTTATTTTCATATATTTACCCAACTAATATCAAAAGTTTATTACATAGAATTTTGTGGCAAATTGAAAAGCAGAAATTAAACTCACCTGACTTATTTCCTCCTTTAGCTGTTTTTCAGATTATCTGCTTCAAACAGTTTTCATCAGAGGCACCCAAATCACTGATTGTGTCTAGAAAACTACAGTGTTGCATAGTATCTGTATAGGAGTATCTATGTACTATTCTGTACCTGCTTCTGTAAAGGGCTGCACATACCTAGATACGCTATGTATAGATTATCACTGTAAAAACTGATCTGTAATAATAGCTCATTTTGGTTCTTAGAAATCACTATTCAAACCAAAATTGAGTTACTAAAATCACTCCAAGAAATCTCACTGTAATACAATATTGAAAAGCTTCAATACTAAAACATTACACAAAAAGCCCTCAATAGTAACAAAATGTATGCAGTAATTGTTTTAAAAGTACATGAATATGACAATGAATATAACATTTCATTTGAAAAACTTACTTATGATGATGTGGTACATAGTAGGCTACCTGAAATCAAAGGATAACTTATAAGTGGGTCTGGATCATCACAGACTTATGAACTGGGGGATATGCTGAATGTAAGTGGCATTTGTGTCTTAAAAGACTTCATTCATCTGGACAGAGTATAATGTCTTCACTTTATGTTTCTCTGGCATTAAATTACCCAGGCATAAATGTGAAAATAATATTACACAGAAAACGTCTCCTGAACAATCAATCACTCTGGAATATATTTGTATCTTTAAAATAAGTAGCACAGAAGAATTGGCCATGCTAGAATTTTCTGATTCATAGTCTGATTAGGACTGAGCAGAATGAAACCTATGTGAATATTTTGTACATATAACTGCAATATGTCCAGAAATTGACTTTGAATTCTTCATGAAAGGCAATGTGGTAACTGCACAAAAACTATTTTATATTTACTAATTTGACCAGTATCAATGAAAAATAGATCTTTGGGCATGGCTGACTTGAAATTCTTACAGTCTAGGCATGTACTTACATCTGATTATGGCTTCAAACTATGGCTTCAACAACCTTTACCTCATTCCAAGGTTCCATCAGACAGCTTGTCAATCTCAGTGAGTATCACAGAATATGCTCACTTGTAGACTGCAAGAAGAAGTCAAGAGAAAGCAAGCAGTAAGAAATCTATGCCATACTCTTACTTTTATTAATAAGGCAGAAGAATCAAATTTGTGAAATAGTCTAGATGCTGAAAGATCATTTACAATTTAGAAGTGTGATACAGTCCCTATCTATGGAAGTTACAGGTGGTATTTATAATAGACCGACATATGAAATTTTTCTGGAAAACTGTTGCATTCTTGCTAATGAGACTTGAGGAAGATATGATCAAGATGCCTGAGATGAGAAAGTTGTAGCTGACTAAAAAATGTATGTTCTAGGTTACTTTATTGTATAGGACAAAAAGAACTTTGTTGCAATATGGACAAAATTTGTGGAGAAAGCAAAATTTTATTTTATAGTATTAGTTTACAATTGTAGATGTATTTAAAAATCACTAAATAATTAAAAGTGACCAAACTGACTTGGTTATGTTTAGAGAAATTCTAAAACCAAACTGTTTTCTTCTATACTCACTACTTTTATTCTCCAATCATATATAGTTATTCAAACTTTTAATTTCCCATACATTGTTTGATAAAGGAAATAAAATATGTTTATTAAACACATATTTTAACAGACAGATAGATAACTTAGTTTTG